TTCGAATCAAGCTCGTTTGATGTCCCACGCACTCCCATATGCCTCTGAGTGACACTACCGCCGATACTGATCCGAGTAGTCTTGCCTGCGCCGTTACAAACACCGTTTGAAGTGCTGCGTTGTTCTAGTCAATCTATGCTTATAGCTGCTTGAACTCGGCTATATATGCTAATACTGAACTAGTCTACTTTAGGCGAGTTATCGCTTTCTCTACCTTGTTGAAATAAGGAGGGTGCTACTTGTTCTATAGCTAGCTCAGAGGTATAGTAGTCTACTTGTCTAGCGATAGACTCAGAGGTAGCGAATCGATAGGTTCTAGGATGAAAAGAGAGAAATGCTAGGGGAGAGAGATAAGGATTGGATTGATCTGATCTAGTAGTCTGATCTGTTCTTGTAATCTGCTCTTTTTTTTCTATCTACTAGCTATTCTACTACTATATATATTTGCTGTACTAGATTCTAGAAGAATCTATCTAGTAGTAGATTACGTAGCTATAGACGTAATAGATAGATGAATTGTATAGGGATTGGTTGACTGAAGAATCCGAGTATAGTGCCGAGCACCCGGATTATGTCAGAGATTAGCTGATTAGCTTATATCTCTAACATACCTAGTTCTGAGTATCTACTTCCCTAAAGATGTGTCCTATCTCTTTCTTAAATTCGGCCTAACTAGTGAACAAGGCGCGCGTCTCGTTCTTCGTTCCTCTATTTTTAATGTCTAATAGATAGTTCTCCACGTATAGCTGTATCTAGCTTGACGCTCGTCCTTTTATATAGGTGCTGGCTATAAGAATCTTCTTCTAGTTATTAGGTACTTCGTTGAATTCGCAATATAAGTTAATATTAGTAAGGAATATCCACAACTTAGTGCGACTCCCTTCGTACTTTTCTAGGGTTACCATCTTCAGCTTCTTAAGTAGTTTCTCGTTTAGGGTAGCTATTAATTGACCTATAAGTTAGTTAATCGTATTCTATAACTTAGCTATCTACCGTGCTTAGGCTTAGCTCTCGCGTCTAAGATTAACGAGTTCGTACTTAGAGCTCTCTGCCGCCGGCTCGTTATTTCCCCCTTAGATACTACTAGTTATATTAATATCTCTCTTAGGCGCCAAGCCTAGAATGTGAACATATTTGCTTAAATTTCCTAATATAGTTCAATCTTATTCAGACGCTGCTAGTTAATCCTTCTTCTACTGGATCTATAGATAGTTAAAGTATTACACGGGGTATAGGTCTATACTTCTCTATCCTAGTCCGCACTAAGGTAGGTAAGTATTACGTTAGTATTCCGTGAGGCTTATTTAGCGATACAGTAGAGTTGGCGTACTTAAGAAGGGTTTAACAAGACTAATCTATTTAATAGACTAACTTATAATAATCTTGTTAAGTAAAGATACTAGTAAGAAAGTATAATTTAAGTTAACCACAACGAGAGTAATAATAAAGTCTATCCATCCTTATATCCTTATTGCTTCTAGTCCTACCATCTCTTCCTTCCTTGCCATCCCTAGGATAGTTGTGATGTTGGGGATGGCTGCCATCCCAAGGCGCCCTGCCATCCCTTGGATGGTTGCCCTTGGCGGGATGGCACATCACGTGACCTAGCCCCGCGATGATCATTACCTTCTGACGTGGACGTCCATAGGCCTTCAGCCATCTCGTCACTCGTCAAGGAGAGAATCCTTCTTGTTACTTGTAACAGATAGGCGGAAGATTAGATATAGTCGTTATAAAAACGCCTATATCTAATACTCCTTACTCTAGTTATCACTATATCCAGAAATGCCTAATACCTCACATTAAACCAGTGATTAAAAAAGGTAAAGTAGTTTGTCTTTTTTTGACAACTTTTTTCTTATAAGTATTTTCTACTTTAATATAACAATTAGCTTTATATATATATATATATTTAACTAACTAATTATTATATAGGTGTAACGGCGTAGGCAAGACTACTCGGATCAGTATCGGCGGTAGTGTCACTCAGAGGCATATGGGAGTGCGTAGGACATTAAACGAGCCTTAATTCGAATAGACACCTATAGGCCTTGTACGAAAGGATATTAAAAGTCTACAGAGCTAGCTACAGGGAGTGTCTCCTTATATACTTATCTTAGTCGGATCCGAATCGGATCCGACCTCACAACGAGTAGTTAATGAAGAGAGCGGCGAGTACTACCTCCGATCCGGCTCTGGGATTGGTCCGATACATGGCGAAGTTGTAACATCGTTACACTACCCCCCTCTTAGTAGACAGCTAGTCTCATAGCTATAAGACTGTTCTTATACCTCTCTATTGCAGTTCCTCCACGCCAGCGCGAGAGACTGTTTCGGGTGACTTTCGGCTTATTCTATACCTACTTTTCTTTTCTTTCCCTACACTCGATTATCCTGCAGCGAAGTTATATTATCTATACCTTTCTCCTAAGCTTAAATCCACTAGCCAAGAGCCTAAGGAGGTCCCGGCTTCGATAGGTTTTGTTCATGAAACTCTCTAAGCTTATAAGGAGCTCCCATGAAGTTAGAGGCGGGGTACTAGGTAGAATCTGGATTATGTCCGATCTAGCTCACCCGATACTTTAACTTAGCACGATATAACTTACTAGCAAGGATCTAATCTACTTCCTACTCTTCTACACCTTGGATAGGCTCACCAGGAGGCTTAGGAGCTTCTTGTCCTGAGAGGGGGTCTTAGGGGTCCTTACACAGCAGGTCCGGAGCGAACACGTCGTGAATATAGGAGCCTACCGGTAGTTGAAGTTGATACGAGTGGCTAACTTTCTCTAGGATCTTAAAGGGACCCTCCTACTTAGCGGCCAGCTTACGACTTAGACGGTCGATTGCTAGGTTCTTAGTATCTAAGAACACTATATCGCTAATGTCCCAATCGACAGGGCGACGATAGCGGTTGACGGCGGATCGCATCCGGTTCTAGGCCTTCTCTATCTACTACTTAGCGGTATCCCATGCGGCGTACATGCGGGTGGCAAGCGCTAGAGCATCCTTATGATTAAGTTTGTCAGTAGGGGTAAGAATACTAGTTAGATACTACCAGTCCCAGCTTTACTTGGGTACGGATCCGTAAAGGATCTGATATGGAGATATACCGATAGAAGAGTAAGATAGGGAAATTTAGGCACGATCAATCAGAGGCAGTAGCCTACTCTAGTTATTCTAGTAGTAGGTTACGAACGGACGTAGTCTCTAATTAATATACTTATTCATAATCTCTGTCTAACTATTAGTTTCCTTATAATAGGCGGTAGATAGCTTAACCTTAATACCTAGGATCTAACAGAACTCGGACCAGAAACTAGACACGAACTGTAGTCCTTAATTAGAGATAATTGTCTCTAGGGTGTGTCTGAATTAGTATACCCACTAGATAAAGAGTTCGGCTATACCCCTTACGTCGATTGTCTTATAACACGGGATAGAGATGGCCTGTTTAGACAACTGGTCGATTATGACCATAATCTGATCGTATCCAGCCTTATCCTTAGGGAATTCCTTAAAGTTAATGTAGAGGTATTGCATTAGCTAGTCAGGAATCGGAAGGGGGTGAATCAGCCCTAGAACTTAGGTCTGTCTTGGATGGGCTTTGCGGCAGGCTAGGCAGTTCCGCACGTACCTCTTATAGGTAGCTTCCATGCCTTTCTAATAGTATTTCCGAGACAGCAGCTAATAAGTCTTCTTTGCACTTAGGTGGGCTAATAAGACCTGATCGTGGGCCTCTCGGATTAGTCGCGTGCACGTGGGGGAGTCTAGCTATACGCAGAGACGGTTCGAGTAGAGCAACAGTCCGTTTTTTATCCAGTACTTATTAGGGAGAGTACGGCGCTTTTTCTTGAACGATGTGCGGTTTTGCTACAATAGAAGCTCGATTAGCTTAAGGGAGTCTAGGGACATAGTCTTCTAAGTGGGCTTAACTACTAGCAGCGAGGTGGCCTGCTCGGATAGTTGTTCTACATATGCCTTGGCGAGTTCGGAGTTAATTTAGTTGTTGAGTTAGTACGGTCCTAAGAGGACCCGCGAACGGTTATTAATTTAGGCATTTCTTAAGTTCTGCAGGTCCTGTTCCCGACGGCTAAGGATATCAGCGCGAGTGTTGTCCTTACTGGGCGTGTATCGGATGCAGAAGTTGAACGAGGCGAGCTGTTCAGCCTATCTCACTTATCGGGCGTTCAGAATCTTAGTAGTCATAAAGTATTCTAGCGAGCGGTGATTAGAGTACACTTGGACTTAGGAGTAGGCAGAGGCTAACTTAGATCTCTACTTATCGAATGCTATAATAATAGCATACAACTCTTTATCGTGTATCTCCCAGTTCAGCTCCGATCTAGATAGGACCTTACTAAAGAAGGCTACTAGGCACCATAAGCCATTGGGTTGGTTCTGAGACAGTACTCCAGCCATAATACCATTAGATGCGTCCGTCTCTACCTTAGTATCATACTCTAGGTGGTAGTGATACAAGGTGGGGATTGCTAGTAAGGCTGCCTTTAACCTTTTAAAGGCCCGGTCGCATTCCGGATCCTATACGAATAGTTTCGTAGGGCTCTAAAGTGCGATAATTGGCTTAGTAATTCGCGAGTATTCTGGGACGAATTGCCGATAGAATCCTGTGAAGCCCAGGAACGACTTCACACTAGTAATGGTGGTAGGTCGGACCTAGTTGCGGAGGGCTTCTACCTTGTTAGGATCTATCTCTAGGCCTTTATTAGTAAGGACGTATCCCAAGTATTTTGTACGAGTGACATGGAATTCACTCTTCTTAATATCGACTTAGAGTCCTGCTTGTCGTAGCCTTTCTAGTACCTTACGCACATGTCGGATGTAGTCCGACTCTAACTTGGAGTAGATGAGGATATCGTCCAGGTAGGCGATGTAGAAGTTATCTAGGTAATTAATTAACACATCGTTTATATATCGCTGATAGGTTGCCGGACCGTTGCACAGCCCGAAGGGCAGTATCTTAGTCTTATACGTTCCGTAACGTGTACGGAATGTGGTGTATTCTTCAGAGTCGGGGTCTATCCGGATCTTGTTAAAAGCCGCACGTATATTAAGCTTGGTGAAGATCTTGGCCTTATAGGGACGAGCAAGTAGCTCATCGATACGCGGGATTAGATACGCATCCTTGCGTGTAATAGCATTAAGTTTGCGGTAATCCACGTAGATGCGTAGGTCTCCGTTTGGCTTCCGAACACATAGGACTGGGGAGGCGAAAGGGCTGTAGCTTGGGGAAAAGTATCCCTTCTGAAGATTCTCTATGACGAACGCCTTAGTCGCTTAGAGCTCTTCAGTACTCTACTTGTACAGGGGACTGAACTGATTTGGTAGAGGTTCGGTGAGAACGATCTTATAGTCGTACGGGCGGTGTTTAGGTAGCTGATTAGCTGCTGTTTTGCTAAACACGTCTCAGTACGAATAGTAGACGGACAGGAGTCGGTCCTGAACTAACTTAGCATTTTTAGGATCATCTTTTAGTCGTCTTTCCTCTAAAATACGATCGATCTTATAGATACTTATCGTAAAGAACTCGTTTTCCTTGCGTTTCATGGTGTAGTGGAAGGCGTTAGCAGAGATAAGTGAGATGCGGGGTGAAGGAGGGGAAGAGGGTGCAGGTCGGATAGGTTTCGGAGCAGGGTCGGGTGCTGGAGGTAGAGGACGGGCTTTAGGGAGTCGAAGAAGGCCACGGATCTGTTAAATACTAGCCGTGGTTGGACTGTTTCTTCTCTAATAGTCGTCCTTCTCCCAGAGAGCGTTGCGTCTCTCGATATCCTTCGTAACCTCGGTGTCAATAGCTGGTTGTTTTAACTGCACTAAGAAAGGTAGGGCAGGATTATATGTTGCTGGGTATTTAGCTGGCTATACGATTCGGTTCCGAACCGTATCTAATTGAAGCTAGAATCGGCGTAGCCACTTAATACTAATAATACAATCCTGTAATCCTAAATCTATAATAACGAATGGGCAGTTATAGATCTTGCGGCTATTAACAGAGAGGTGCAACCAGATATATTGATTAACCCTCGTCTAAACCTGATCTTAAAATCCTTTAACTGTAATCTTGAAGGGAAGTCTTTAGATAGGAACCTAAAGCGAACTAGAGATTATATAAGCAATTGCAGAATTTAAAAATAAGAACCCTTAGGCGCCAGTATCAACCAGCGACTGCAGGCTGACACTATAACCCTTCAAACAAAGAACGGTAGGGACTCGGAAGTGCTTTCCTCTAAACAAGTATAACAGATCAATCTTAGCAAGGTCATACTTATAAATGCCTAGGGCGGAGCGTTTTCCTAGGCTTCGTCGTTTCCCGACTAGTCCTCATCCGACTAGTATTCTGCAGCTTCCTCAAACACCTCTTCTTCTTAGAAAGCTTCTATCTCTCTTACCTAAGAGACTGTGTAGTCGCTCACAAAGTGTCCGGGCTTACCGCATTAGTAGCAGTTACTAGGAGTAGTTTAGCGTTCTAGTACTAGTGTCTTAGAGGCAGGCCTAGGCACACTCAAGAAAGCCCGAGGTGGGGTCGGAGCGGGGTCAGACCTTACTTCGTACGTGGGTGGGCGATACTCTCTTATCTAATAGGTAGCTAACTTAGGCTTCGCAGTCGAAGTGTAGGTAGTCCGTCGCTCCAATTATACTACGATAGGAGCTGATCGTTGTTCTAATTCAAAAGCAGTAAGATATTTACACATCTCATCGAAGGAGCTGTCAAAGAAACGCTTAACAGCCATGTTAGGAACTCGCAAAGCTGAGCTAATCTTCTACTAGAGATAGAAGGGCCACTCTAGTTCTAATACATGTCCTTTAATAGCGAGACTAATAAAACGAGCTTTAAACTCTGAAAACGGCTCTCTATCTTTTATAAGTAGATTATGGAAAGCGGCTCAGCTCTCCGCCTACTTATTACTAGTTATAAAGTATAATCTAAGCAGCTTAATTATTTCCTCCGCATTCTTGAACTAGTACCCTTCTGTCTTTAATAGGTACTTAGGTTCGAGGTATCCCTTAGCATCACCCAACGTATAGCTATATACTATGGCTATCTGGTGGCGTTCCGTAGGGAAGTAGTCTGAGTTTAGGTTAAGTTGGTCTTCTACTTCGGCTTACCACTAGGGAAAGGTGGGATCTTTCCTATCACTTAATTGGCTGATGAAGAATAAGATAAGACGGCTTAGTTTAACACGTGGAGGCTCGGGGGTGGCAGAAGTGTACCTTAGTAATTGGCGGGAAGGTAGTTCGGCCGATATCGGTGGGGATTCGGTAGTAAGAACTACGTTACTCCGCAGCTCGGCGTTTTCTTAGGTCAGTTGGTGGACTTAGTTAACTAAGCTAGCCATCTGCCTATAGAGGTCTCTCATAGTTAGTACTGGTACCGAATCCTTCTCGTCTTCGTCTTCTTCTTCTTCTCGTGGGGATAAAGTCTCTGAAGATTCCTAGGTTGGCAGCTTACTAGCTTTCTTCTCCAAGACGGTTTAGTCCTAGAGTCGGACTGATTTCCGAGGTGGTTCCTTAGAACTACCGGGTTTTGGTGGGTTAACTATTAGCGATTGCCTCTAAGGTTGATGGGTTATTAGTAGTCTCCGAGTCTCTACTGTGGCGCACTCTACGCGACTTTTACTAAAGTAATCTGCCTCGCGAGGAGCGCAGAAGTTCCAAACCTAAAGGCTTCGGCCGGTAGGAGATTAGTGGGATCCTGCCTAGGTGAATGTTAGATGTGACGGTGTAAGTATCCGGATCGGTGCCGGATAACTTAAGGTTGGACGTAGTCTGAACAGACAGCTGCGATATTGTTTTGAAGCCGTCACCGGCTGGGACGAGACTTTTGATATAATGTAACGGCGCAGGCAAGACTACTCGGATTAGTATCGGCGGTAGTGTCACTCAGAGGTATATGGGAGTGCGTGGGACATCAAACGAGCCTTAATTCGAATAGACACCTATAGGCCTTGTACGAAAGGATATCAAAAGTCTACAGAGCTAGCTATAGGGAGTGTCTCCTTATATACTTATCTTAGTCGGATCCGAATCGGATCCGACCTCACAACGAGTGGTTGATGAAGAGGGCGGCGAGTACTACCTCCGATCCGGCTCTGGGATTGGTCCGATACATGGCGAAGTTGTAACATCGTTACAATAGGTTGGATTTTTTAACAAGATAACGCTACTATCTATACTGCTAAAAACGTTGAAAGCTGGTTTAAACGAAACTATATTAAAGTTGCAGCCCATCCAGCCTATAGTCCGGATTTAAATCCTATCGAAAACGTATAGAGTTTACTTAAAAATAGGCTAAACAAAAGGCCTACTACCTCTTTAGGCGCTGGGATTAATAGTAAAAGTATTAATACTTTTATTACTGTAATAAAAGAAGAGTGGTGGGCTATTCCGCAAAAGAATATAGATAACTGTATTTTATCTATGCTAAGACGTTATAGAGCTGTAGTAGAAGTTAAGTGTTACACGGGGTTGGGTGCTGATACTTCTCTAAGCTCGATCCGGGTTAGGGCGAGTAAGGATATGTGAATAGCGCCGTGAGGTAGTTGTCTGGCGATGCAGTGGAGTGGGCGTGCTTGTAAGATAGATAACAATAGGTTTAACAATTCCTAATCTATGTCGAATAGACTAACAAGTATCAATCTTGTGAAGTTAAGTAACTAGTAAGAAAGTACAATTTGAGTTGACCACAACGAGAGTAAATAATGAGATCCATCCATCCTTATATCCTCATTGCTTCTAGTCCTGGCATCTAGTTAAGCCCTTGACATCTCTGATGCCACTAGCATCTCCAGATGTCCTGGCATCTCCCGATGTCCTGTCTTGGCGAGATGCTAAGTCACGTGATCAGCGCCCCGCGTTGATTATTACCTTCTGACGTGGACGTCCATAGGCTCTCCGCCATCTCGTCATTTGTTAAGGAGAGAATCCTTCTTGTTACTTGTAATATTATCTCCCCTCTTAGGGCTATCGTCTCGATACCCTGGAATATTGTTTTCCCGTGCCGCGTGTTGAGACGCCGGCTGTATATAAGGTTAGAGCCCATCCACTTGTTGTAGCCGTCTCTGCCTCGTAGCCTTTCTAACCATGCCTAAGGTCTAAAAGCCCCGTGCCCTACGTTCTTAAACTTCGACTAAGCAGAAGCGTTCCTGGGCCGCCCGCGTAGAGTAAGAGGGCCTTAAAATGGAGTTCCGCTGTAAGCGTTGTGAAGAGAAGAAGTTACGTTATTTTGTGGAGACAACGTCGGGTCGTTGCGCTAGTTGTATTTCCGTTGGTGCTAAGTGCAGTCTTTTTGTTTCTGAGGAAGAGTGGGAGAAAGTTCGAGAGGAACGTGAAGAACGAGAACTGGCTGTGGCTCATCTTAAGGCACAGCTTTCTTAATAGAAGCTAGAGCTTCTAGAAGTAAAGAAGCGTGAACGAACTTTCGCGCGTCGCGATCTTACGATTCTTGCTGTTTAAGATCGTGCGAAAGAGCAGGCTGAGGGGAGCTCAGCCCCTGGGGGTACGGGCCTTCCTATTGTCGAACTATCGCTATCTAGACTATCGGCTAATCTGGGCGGGTTACAGGCTGATTACTATAATCCTTCTTTTGACTATTCTTTCCTCTTTAAGGGGCTTCCCCTCGCTTCTCTGGGTGCTTCTGGTGGTATTCACGTACTAGTGACTTGCAGTTCGTCAGATTTCCTTTAGGTTTCTAAGTGTTATAGCTCTCGGGCCATCCTTGCTACTTAACTAAGTACTTCTACTAACTACTGATTTTCCGTAGGTCCTTAATTTTCTCGACCTCGTACTTATCGTCTTTAAGCTCTATATCCGTTGCTAGCTTAGCATCTAGAGGTGCTGGTTCTAGGAGTTTCTTATAAAAAACAGGGTGGATTCGCATGCCTTATAGGAGTTTTAACTTATAGTTTACTTTTCCTATTTCCTCTAGAATTTCAAACGGTCCTATTCGGAGGTTGTCCAATTTTCTGTATAGTCGTTTAGTTTTTAGGTTTTATCTTAATAAGAAAACTTTGTCCTCCTTCTTAAAGGTTAGTCCCTTAATCCTTAGTTTATTCGCTGCCTTAGATATCGTGAGGTTTCGCTAAGCTATATTCTTACTTAATTCTTCGTGTAATTCTCGTATAAGCTTCGCTTTATCGTCTACTCTTATCGCAATGCTTTTAATATCCTTTAGGTCTCGCTAAGCAATCAGCTTATATTCGTAGTTCGCATAGTACAGCGAATGCTTCGTTATTACTAATTTCGTACTATTATAAGCCAATTATACTATTAGTAGTAATTCTACCTAGTTATCTTATAACTTATTAGCGTACATTCGCAAGTACTATTCTAATATCTAGTTCGTTCGTTCTGTCTAGCTGTCTATTTCCAGGTGAAAGCTTATCGAAAGCTTCTTCTTAACACCTAACTTTGCTAGGAATGTATTCTAGTATTTAGACGTAAATAGTTTATCACGGTTAGTAATAAATTCTTTAGGTATTCCGTGCTCTAATACTAGTGCTTTAGTAACTTCGTATGCGCATTCGTCTGCCGTAATAGTCTCTTCTATAGGCATAAACTTTACTATCTTAGTCAATTAGTCTACGATTACTAGTATTATATCGCAAAATCGAGCTAATCCTAGTTCTAACGATTTCGGGAGCTTCACTATAAAGTCTATTATTATACTTGTCTATAGTCTAGACGGTGGCTGTAGGGGTTGTAACAGGCTGTAGGGCTTATGTCTCTTGGGCTTGTTCTAGTAATATGCTAAATAGTTGCCTAGTATTTCCTACACTTTCGTACGCATACGTGGTATTGCAAATACCTTAGCTAGTCGTCTAACTATTTCTTCGATTCCTGCATATCTGTACTCTTAAGACTCGTGTAGTTCCTATATAAGACTCAATCTTATGTGTGGAGGTATATATATTCGATTTTTTGAAATTATATCCTAGTACTCTCTTTCGTCGTTCAATAGTTCGTCGGAGCCTGCTTCGTTAGGCTCGAACTACCAGCTAGCTGCTTACTGCTGCTATCGCTGTTGTAGCGTTTTTACCTACTTAGCCACCTTAGCTACTTTAGCTAGTTCTGGCTGGTTATACTTCAGACTACTATCGGGTATTATCTTAAGTAAGGCGTTATATGGTTCTTTATGACCCTCTTTGCGTAAATTAGACCTCCTACTTAAAGCGTCTACTACTTTATTAAGCGTTCCCGCGCGGTGCGTGATCTTAAAGTCGAACTGGGCTAGCATCTCTACCCATCGTACTTATTATTAGTTGAGTTTTTTCGTTGTTATAAAACTCGTTAAGTTCTAGTAATTAGTAAAAACCTCGATCTAGTTAGGGGGTCCTAATAGGTATACTTCCTATTATTTAAAGGTATCGACTACTCTAAGTAGTTCCTTATTATAAATATCGTAATTGAGTTCTGCTCCTAAGAACTTTTATAAATGGTAGAATACTAGTCTCTATTTTCTATCTAGGCACTGCTGTGACAGTATAGCTCTAAGTGCGTAGTTAGACGCGTTAGTCTCGACTCTGGTAGGTTATTAAGGGCTGTATATCTTAAGTACTAGTGCCTCTAGGAATATCTGCTTAATTTAATTAAAAGCCTCCTAATGTTCCTATTCCTATTTAAAACTTATTTCCTTCTTCGTTACCTCTATAAGAGGTGTAGTAATCTTTAAGTAATCCCTAATGAACTTTCGATAGTAATTCGCAAATCCTAAGAAGGATTAGATATCTTTAACTATTTTAGGTATTAGCTATTCCTATACAGTCTGTATCTTCTTTAGGTTTATTTTCACTCCTTTAGTTAATATAATAAATCTAAGGAACTCTATTTCCTATATGTGGAATTCACACTTTCCTAGTTAAAGGTATAGCTTATATTCTTTAAGCTTTCGTAGGACCTTCTTAATATACTTAACATGTTCTTCGCGTGTACTGCTGGAGTACACTAGTACATCGTCTAGATACGCGGTAATAAAGATTCTAAGGTACTTATAGAGTGCGTTGTTAATAACTAATTAAAAGATTACTAGCGTATTCGTTAATCCAAACGGCATAACTATGTACTTAAAGAGTCTATACTTCGTTTTAAACGCTGTTATCTATTTATAACCTTCTTTAATTCTAATTTAGTAAAATCCTTCCTAAATATTAAACTTCGTAAACCACTTAGCTCCCTAGAGTTAATCTATAAGCTCCGTAATGTAACGGCGCAGGCAAGACTACTCGGATCAGTATCGGCGGTAGTGTCACTCAGAGGCATATGGGAGTGCGTGGGACATCAAACGAGCCTTAATTCGAATAGATATCTATAGGCCTTATACGAAAGGATATCAAAAGTCTACAGAGCTAGCTATAGGGAGTGTCTCCTTATATACTTATCTTAGTCGGATCCGAATCGGATCCGACCTCACAACAAGTAGTTGATGAAGAGGGCGGCGAGTACTACCTCCGATCCGGCTCTGGGATTGGTCCGATACATAGCGAAGTTATAACATCGTTACACTACCCCCCTCTTAGTAGACAGCTAGTCCCATAGCTGTGAGACTGTTCTTATGCCTCTCTATTATAGTTCCTCCACGCCAGCGCGAGAGACTGTTTCGGGTGACTTTCGGCTTGTTCTATACCCACTTTTCTTTTCTTTCCCTACACTCGATCATCCTACAGCGAAGTTATATCGTCTATATCTTTCTCCTAAGCTTGAATCTACTAGCTAAGGGCCTAAGGAGGTCCTGGCTTTGATAAGTTTTATTTATAAAACTCTCTAAGCTTATAAGGAGCTCCTATGAAGTTAGAGGCGGGGTACTAGGTAGAATCTGGATTATGTCCGATCCAGCTCACCTAATACTTTAACTTAGCACGATATAACTTACTAGCAAGGATCTAATCTACTTCCTACTCTTCTACACCTTGGATAGGCTCACTAGGAGGCTTAGAAGCTTCTTATCCTGGGAGGGGGTCTTGGGGGTCCTTACACAGCAGGTCCGGAGCGAATATGTCGTAGATACGGGAGCCTACCGGTAGTTAAAGTCGATATGAGTGGCTAACTTTCTCTAGGACCTTAAAGGGACCCTCCTACTTAGCGGCCAGCTTACAACTCGGACGGTCGATTGCCAGGTTCTTAGTATCTAAGAACACTATATCGCTAATGTCCCAATCGACAGGGCGACGATAGCGGTTAACGGCGGATCGCATCTGGTTCTGGGCCTTCTCTATCTACTACTTAGCGGTATCCTATGCGGCGTGCATATGGGTGGTAAGCGCTAGAGCATCCTTATAATTAAGTTTGTCAGTAGGGGTAAGGATACTAGTTGGATACTGCTAGTCCCAGCTTTGCTTAGGTTCGGACCCGTACAGGATCTGATACGGAGACATGCCGATAGAAGAGTGAGGTAGGGAAATCTAAGCGCGATCAATTAGAGGCAGCAGTCCGCTCTAGTTGTCTTAATAGTAGGCTATGAACGGACGTAGTCTCTGATCGATATATTTATTCATAATCTCTATTTAACCATTAGTTTCTTTATAGTAGGCGGTAGATAGCTTAACTTTAACGCCTAGGATCTGACAGAACTCAGACTAGAAACTAGATATAAACTGTGGTCCTCGATCAGAGATAATAGTCTCTAGGGTGTGTCCGAATTGGTATACCTACTAGACGAAGAGTTCGGCCATACCCCTTACGTCGATTGTCTTATAACACGGGATAGAGATGGCCTACTTAGACAACCAGTCGATCACGACCATAATCTGATCGTATCTAGCCTTGTCCTTAGGGAATTCCTTAAAGTTAATGCAGAGGTGTTGCATTAGCCGATTAGGAATAGGGAGAGGGTGAATCAACCCTAGAACTCAGGTCTGTCTCGGATGGGCCTTACGGCAGGCTAGGTAGTTCCGCACGTACCTCTTACAGGTAGCTTCCATACCTTTCCAATAGTATTTCTGAGACAGCAGCTGATAAGTCTTCTTTACACTTAGGTGAGCTGATGAGACCTAATCGTAGGCCTCTCAGATCAGTCGCGTGCACGCGGGGGAGTCTGGCTGCACGCAGAGACGGTTCGAGTAGAGCAACAGTCCGTTTTCTATCCAGTACTTATCAGGGAGAGTACGGCGCTCTTTCTCGAACAATATGCGGTTTTACTGCAACAGAAGCTCAATCAGCTCAAGGGAGTCCAGGGACATAGTCTCCTGAGTGGGCTCAACTACTAGCAGCGAGGTGGCCTGCTCGGATAGTTGTTCCACATATACCTTGGCGAGTTCGGAGTTAATTCGGTTGTTAAGTCGGTGCGGTCCTAGGAGGACCCGCGAACGGTTATCAATTTAGGCATTTCTTAAGTTCTGCAGGTCCTGTTCCCAACGGCTAAGAATATCAGCGCGAGCGTTGTTCTTACCAGGCGTGTATCGGATGCAGAAGTTGAACAAGGCGAGCTGTTCAGCCCATCTCACTTGTCGGGCGTTCAGAATCTTAGTAGTCATAAAGTATTCCAGCGAGCGGTGATCAGAGTACACTTGGACTTAAGAGTGAGCAGAGGCTAACTCAGATCTCTACTTGTCGAATACTACAACAATAGCATACAACTCTTTATCGTGTATCTCCCAGTTCAGCTCCGATCTGGATAGGACCTTACTAAAGAAGGCTACTAGGCACCATAAGCCATTAGGTTAGTTCTGAGATAGTACTCCAGCTACAACACCATCAGATGCGTCCGTCTCTACCTTAGTATCATACTCTAGGTGGTAGTAATACAAGGTGGGGATTGCTAGCAAGGCTGCTTTTAACCTTTTAAAGGCGCGGTCGCAATCCGAATCCCATACGAAAGGTTTCGCAGGGCTCTAGAGTGCGATAATGGGTTTAGCAATTCGCGAGTATTCTAGAACGAATTGCCAGTAAAATCCTGTAAAACCTAGGAACAACTTCACACCCGTAACGGTGGTAGGTCGGACCCAGTTGCGGAGGGCTTCTACCTTGTCAGGGTCCACCTCTAGGCCTTTATTGGTGAGGACGTATCCTAGGTACTTCGTACGAGTGACATGGAATTCACTCTTCTTAATGTCAACTTGGAGTCCTGCTTGTCGTAGCCTTTCTAGTACCTTGCCTACATGTCGGATGTGGTCCGCCTCTGTCTCGGAGTAGATAAGGATATCGTCTAGGTAGGCAATGCAGAAGTTGTCCAGATAATCAATCAGCACATCGTTCATGTATCGCTGATATGTTGCCGGACCATTGCATAACCCAAAAGGCAATACCTTAGTCTTATACGTTCCATAGCGAGTGCGGAACGTGGTGTACTCCTCAGATTCGGGGTCCATTCGGATCTTGTTAAAAGCCGCGCGTATATCAAGCTTGGTGAAGATCTTGGCCTTATAGGGACGAGCGAGTAGTTCGTCGATACGCGGGATCGGATACGCATCCTTGCGTATGATCGCATTGAGCTTGCGATAATCTACGCAGATGCGGAGGTCTCCGTTTGGCTTCCGAACACAAAGGACGGGGGAGGCGAAAGGACTGTGGCTCGGGGAAAAGTATCCCTTCTGGAGGTTCTCCATAACGAACGCCTTAGTCGCTTGGAGCTCTTCAGTGCTCTGCTTATATAGAGAACTGAACTGATTCGGCAGAGGCTCGGTGAGAACGATCTTGTGGTCGTACGGGCGGTGTTCAGGGAGCTGATCAGCTGCCGTTTTGCTGAACACATCCCAGTACGGATAGTAGACGGACGGGAGTCGGTCCTGAACTAGCTTAGCATTTTCAGGGTCGTCCCTTAGTTATCTTTCTTCTAGGATACGATCAATCTCATAGATACTTGTCGTGAAGAACTCGTTTTCCTTGCGTTTCATGGTGTAGTGGAAAGCATTGGCTGAAATGAGTGAGATGCGGGGTGAAGGAGGGGAAGAAGGTGCAGGTCGGATAGGTTTCGGTACAGGGTTAGGTGCGGGCGGTAGAGGACGGGCTTTTGGAAGTCGAAGAAGGCCACGGATTCTTTGGATACTAGCCGTGGTTGGGCTGTTTCTTCTCCGATAGTCGTCCTTCTCCCAGAGAGCGTTGCGTCTCTCAATGTCCTTCTCAACCTCGGCGTCGACAGCTGGTTGTTTCAACTGCACTAAAATGGGCGGGGCAGGATCATAAGTTGCTGGGTACTTGGCTGGCCACACGATTCGGTTCCGAACCGTGTCTAGTTGAAGCTGGAAGCGGCGCAGCCACTTAATCCCAATAATGCAATCCTGTGATCCTAAATCCATAATAACGAAAGGGCAGTTGTAAACCTTGCGGCCATCGATAGAGAGGTGTAACCGGATATATTGATTTACCCTTGTTTGAACCTGATCTTGAAATCCTTTAACTGTAATCTTGAAGGGTAGCCGTTGGATAGGAACCTAAAGCGAACTAGAGATTGTACGAGCAATTGCAGAATTCAAAAATAAGAACCCTTGGGCGCCAGTATCAACCAGCGACTGCAGGCTGACACCATAACCCTTCGAACAAAGAACGGTGGGGACTCGGAAGTGCTTTCCTCCAAATAAGTATAACAGATCAATCTTAGCAAGGTCATACTTGTGAATGCCTAGGGCGGAGCGTTTTCCTAGGCTTCGTCGTTTCCCGACCGGTCCTCATCCGACTAGTATTCTGCAGCTTCCTCAAACACCTCTTCTTCTTAGAAAGCTTCTATCTCTCTTACCCGAGGGATTGTGCAGTCGCTCGCAAAGTGTCCGGGCTTACCACATTAATAGCAGTTACCAGGAGTAGTTTGGCGTTCTGGTACTAGTGTCTTAGAGGCAGGCCTAGGCACACTCAAGAAAGCCCGAGGTGGGGTCGGAGCGGGGTCGGACCTTACTTCGTGCGTAGGTAGGCGATACTCTCTTGTCTAATAGGTAGCTAACTTAGGCTTCGCAGTCGAAGTGTAGGTGGTCCGTCGCTCCGATTGTGCTACGATAGGAGCTGATCGTCGTTCTAATTCGAAAGCAGTGAGATGTTTACACATCTCATCGAAGGAGCTGTTAAAGAAACGCTTAACAGCCATGTTAGGAACTCGCAAAGCTAGGCTAATCTTCTACTAGAGATAGAAGGGCCACTCTGGTTCCGATACATGTCCTTTAATAGCGAGACTAATAAAACAAGCTTTGAACTCTAAAAACAGCTCTCTATCTTTTATAAGCAGATTGTGGAAAGCGGCTTAGCTCTCCGCCTACTTATTGCTAGTTACGAAGTATGATCTAAGCAGCTCGATCATTTCCTCCGCATTCTTGAACTGGTACCCTTCCGTCTTTGATAGGTACTTAGGTTCGAGGTATCCCTTAGCATCACCCGACGTGTGGCTATATACTATGGCCATCCGGTGGCGTTCCGTAGGGAAGTGGTCCGAGTTTAGGTCAAGTCGGTCTTCCACTTCGGCTTGCCACTAGGGAAAGGTGGGATCTTTCCTATTACTTAATTAGCTGATAGAGGATGAGATAAGACGGCTTAGTTTGACACGTGGAGGCTCGGGGGTGGCAGAAGTGTACCTTGGTAATTGGCGGGAAGGTAGTTCGGCCGATATTGGTGGGGATTCGGTAGTAAGAACTACGTTACTCCGCAGCTCGGCGTTTTCTTGGGTCAGTCGGTGGACTTGGTCAACTAAGCTGGCCATCTGCCTATGGAGGTCTCTCATAGTTAGTACTGGTACCGAATCCTCCTCGTCTTCGTCTTCTTCTTCTTCTCGTGGGGATGAAGTCTCTGGAGATTCCTAGGTTGGCAGCTTGCCAGCTTTCTTCTCCGAGACGGTTTAGTCCTGGAGTCGGACCGATTTCCGAGGTGGTTCCTTAGAACTACCGGGTTTTGGTGGGTCAACCATCAGCGATTGCCTCTGAGGTTGATGGGTTATTGGTAGTCTCCGAGTCTCTACCGTGGCGCACTCTACGCGACTTTTACTAAAGTAATCTGCCTCGCGAGGAGCGCAGAAGTTCCAAACCCAAAGGCTTCGGCCGGCAGGAGATCAGTGGGATCCTGCCTAGGTGAATGTGGGACGTAACGGTGGAAGTCCGGGTCGACTCCAGATCTTGGGGGATTGACGTGGTCTTCAACAAACAGCTGCGATATTGTTTTGAAGCCGTCACCGGCTGGGACGAGACTTTTGATATAATGTAACGGCGCAGGCAAGACTACTCGGATCAGTATCGGCGGTAGTGTCACTCAGAGGCATATGGGAGTGCGTGGGACATCAAACGAGCCTTAATTCGAATAGACACCTATAGGCCTTGTACGAAAGGATATCAAAAGTCTACAGAGCTAGCTATAGGGAGTGTCTCCTTATATACTTATCTTAGTCGGATCCGAATCGGATCCGACCTCACAACAAGTAGTTGATGAAGAGGGCGGCGAGTACTACCTCCGATCCGGCTCTGGGATTGGTCCGATACATAGCGAAGTTGTAACATCGTTACACGTAATAAGTAGTAAGAAGTACTAGTTCTTCTAAGTAACGCTGTTTAACCTCCTAAAGTCGATATATAGTTGCCACTTCCCGTTAGGCTTCTTTACGAATAAAATAGGTGAGGCTATTAGGCCCGATCCCAGTTAGATAAAT